GCAAAGTTCTCCTAGCAAGCCTTGCCCATGGTCGTTACCATCCACATCTAGCGAAGTTCATTCAAAAAACTTCCTCCATAGCTGTTTTACGAGCTATTTTCAAGGAAATGTGGGTTAACCCCACTAACCCTGATTTAATGGCCATTAACCTACATTTAATGATTATTGACTCTATCTCTTTGCCTATAAATGGAGAGGGAATTTCTCAAAAAAGGAGGAGGGCTTGAGAATCTACGTAAAAGGGCTACACACAAGAGGCAATAGGATTGGCTAAGAAATTAAAAGATAATTGGCTATTGGCAAAGACTTTTGGCGAAAAGAAAGAAGACTTGCAGACAACAAGCTTCTTGATGCCCTTATTTGGTTTGATCTTCATAGACCATTCTCTGTAATCAAGCTAATCATTTATCTTCATCTCAACAATCAGTCATAAAGAATCTCTTTGAGATAAGCGATAAATCATTTTCTCGATGCAACTAGCTACAAACACACTGTCTTTAAGTCAGACCATCAACGGAAGACAAGAATGACCTTCCGTTCGACACACAAAAAAGAATCTATATCTTTGTAAAAAAAATTGTTTCTTATTTCTTGATCTTGTAATTCCTCGTCTTTATTATTTATTTTAAGACCAAGAACACGGTGTTGGTCTTCCCTGATTCCAATAAATATATGAGGTAGCTTGTGATGCATTGAGCACAAGCATTGGTGGTGTACTTATTCAAGAGGGACGACCAGAGACCTTTTTAATGAGAAGTTTACATAACTCAAATGTAACCTACAACACTTATGATGCAGAGTTCTATGCCACAGTGCAGTCCGCATGATATTGGGAGTATTGTAATGAGAATTTATCCTCCATTCAGACCATGAAGCTCTAAAATATATCAATGGTTCATTTCAACTAAACTACAGGCATACTCAGTGGGTTGAATATCTTCAACAATTGACTTCTTCTTTGAAGTACATTATGGGGGTCAATAATTGAATGGCATATGCACTGAGCAGATGACTGACTTTGTTGTCTACCATGCAGGCTCAAGTCGTGGATTTTCATACTTTTCTAGATCTCTATGAGATAGATTCCTTCTTTGGTCCTATTTATAAATATGTGGAACAACGATAACATCGCCCGATGTATCTCATAGAGGATGGCTATCTCTTCAAGGGATTATAACTTTGCATTCAAGATTGCTCGTTGAGAAAGAAGATTGCGGAGGAGCTTCATAATGATGCACTTTGGGCAAGGTAAGTGTGTGCACTAGTCTATCATGGCTATTATTAGCCTAATATGAAGAAAGAGGTGATCTATTTTGGGAAGCGATGCTATGTATCAAATGTCAAAGGGAGCAGCCATTAATGTGGACTATACACACCACTTCTGGTTCCTGTAGTGCCTTGGAAGGATGTCAGTATGGACTTTGTTCTTAGGCTACCTCAAATCTAGAGAAGAAAGGATTCAATCTGCATAGTTGTCGATCAATTCTCAAAGATGGTTCACTACCTAGCTTGCAAGAAGACAATGGATGCATTTCTGATAGTTGACCTATACCTCAAGGAGGTTGTGCATTTTCATGGAGTCCCAAAACCCATCACTTTAAATCGAGACACTAAATTTTTGAGCTACTTTTTGAGATCCTTATGGAGGAGGTTGCGAACCAAGCTCTGTTATAGTAGGGCATATCATCCACAAATAGAGGGTAGGTAGAGGTAGTGAACAGAAGTTAAGGGAATCTTCTTTGTAGTTTAGTTGGGGGCAATTCAAAGAAGTAGGATCTTGTGCTTTCTATAGCTAAGTTTGCCAACGACCTTTCACATAATCACACGATGAACCCATTTGACATCGTGTATGGTAATAATCTGTAGGGCGTCGTTGATTAGATTTTAGTTCCTAGAACCGACCGACTGAATGTCAAAGCTGAAGATATGACCGAGCATCTGAAGAGTATCTTTGATCAAGTTTGGCAACAAATTGAGGCCGTCAATTCTAAATATGAAGCTACTACGAGTAAGATCGTCGTCGCGTGGTATTTGAGATGGGTGATCTTGTCTAGACCATTCTTAAGAAAGACTGTCATCTATGGGAGAGTACAACAAGCTAAAAATAAAAAGGTTAATCTGTGCCAGATTTTGAAGAAAATTAGTGGTAATGCACATCAATTGAAACTGTACAGCAATATGAAGACCTCATATGTGTTCAATGTGAAGCACCTGATACAGTATCTTGATAGTGATACCTTATCTGAGGAGGAAGATGTGACCTCTGAGTCAAGCTCTTTTCATGTCAAGGAGGATGATGCAAGCTCAGGGTCAATCTTTTCAGCTTGAGGAGGGTGATGTAGCTCTAGATGTGGTGCTAGCCTATGTGGATCAGTTTGACCTTGTAAGGATCAAGATCAGAGGAACTTCAAATAGCTCAGAATTATGAAAAAGACCAGTTGTTTCGATGAACTCACAAAATCGTCAAGATCATAAAGAATGTCAAAGGAAACTTATGTGTCCTTTGCCGAATTTGCAAAATTCTATCATTTTGGGCTCAAAATCAAGGTCAAAGATTTTCTTTCTATTTCGAACAGTGTTTGACCGTCCAATCTGGAGAGGTAAGCGAATTCTGTTTTCGCTGAAAATTGATATGGAGGATCTTCTTTTCTAATAGAAGGATATTTTCTAGTTTTTTGCATTTTTCTATTTTCAGTTAAAATATATTATTTTATCTTTTGTCCATTTGTTTTTTAGTACAAAAAACTCTTCTCTGGATGTAGAGAAGAGCTCTTGTAGAATAAAACTCTAGTTTATTACCTGCGGCCATTTATTAGTGTTTTCTCTATTTTTATTCATCTTTTGTAATTTTGATCCGGTTGCTGTCCTACCAAGATGGCATCAACTAGATAGCACAAAAGCAAGTGACCAATACACCAATTGCTTGCCATGAAATTAATAATGTTGCGAAATGACAACCTCTGAAGTCTAAGCCAATATAGAAGTTCTACTCTAAGCCCCCTTGGAAGGTATTAAGAGTTTCTTTTTCCCCTTTTTTTCGTTTTTTATTACTGGTGTTTGGTTAGCTTATTTTCAGTTCTCTGCAGGTTCCTGGCCTTCAGTCCCCACTGAGAATATGATTCTTCAATATGTAAAATCTAAGGCAGATTGGTGGACTAATGTTGCACACTATAATCGCAAGCGTATTAGAAGGGGTGCAACAGTTAATAAGACTGTTTGCCGGAAGAATCTAGGAAGACTTTCTCGTCTCTGGTTAAAGGCTGAGCAGGTAACAATATTTCCTGCTGTATGAACTATTAGTGAGTCTCTGTAAAGGCATCTTACAAGAATGTCATTTTATAATTTTTTTATCACAATTTGCAGTATTTCTTCAGTTTTCTCTTGCGTTTAAAGCAGATTGTAGATTTGTTTATGATGTGTCTTTATAGGCAATGTTTTAGGAGGAAATACTTTTCTAAGCATGTTAATTCTCATCCTATCATGTTCATCCTTGTAGGAGAGACAACATAATTATTTGAAAGATGGTCATTATGTTATTACTCCTGGAGAAGCTGTGGCCATCTACACAACTACTGTGCATTGGTTAGAATCAAGAAAATTCTCTCCTATACCTTTCCCTCCACTGTCAATCAAGCATGGTACTAAGCTACTCATCCTTGCTCTGGAAAGGCTAAAAGAATCATACAGTGTGGCGGTGAGATTGAACCAGTTACAAAGGGAAGAATTGGGTCTTATTGAACAGGCGTATGATAACCCTCATGAAGCTTTGTCAAGGATAAAGCGTCACTTACACAACGGGCCTTCAAAGAAGTAAGCTTAGTTCATTCCAGGGGTTGTTTATTAGATTGTTTCAACTTTTAATTTGGTTTTCCATTGTTTGACTTATTATTATTTTTCAGGTTGGCATCGAGTTCATGGATTTGTATAGCTATCTGATTCCAGTATATGAGGTTGAGCCTCTAGAGAAAATAACAGATGCATACCTAGATCAGTATCTATGGTATGAAGGTGACAAGAGACATCTTTTCCCAAATTGGATTAAACCTGCTGATTCAGAACCACCGCCTCTACTCGTATATAAATGGTGCCAAGGTATCAATAACTGGGCGTATGGGATACGAGTGACGGGCAATGTGTTGTGATGCTTCAAACAAATTTCTGAGAAGTTCTTTGAGAAGATTGATTTGACCATGTTGAACAGGTAATATTTTTCGCGTATCTTCTATAAGTATTAATAATTCTTTTGAGTGTGTCATGCTGATAGATAATTTGTATCCATTTTCAGGCTTCTAAGGTTGGTGCTTGATCACAGCATTGCGGACTACGTGACTGCTAAAAACAATGTGGTGTTATCTTACGAGGATATGGGTTGCACAAACTCATATGGTCTCGTTCGTGGCCTGCAATTTGCCTCTTTTGTAGTTCAATATTATGGGCTGGTACTTGACCTCTTGCTTCTCGGGTTAACTCGAGCCAGTGAAATTGTGAGAGATGTTGGACATTTTGGATATTAGAGACAAATATATAATATTAGATGCTTTTCATTGTGAGAGATTGGAAGTTATCATTGTGTATGTTTATGTTTTGTCTCTAATATTGTATATTAAGTAAACATTGTGTATGAATATATAACAATGGATATTTAGCAAAGTTTGAGAATATTTTGATTTCATTGTGAGATGTTGAGTAATTATTGTGTGAGATGTGTATATAAACGGTAGATAAATAAAGAAGCCAAAATTAAAAAATAGTAAAATAAATAGCCCAAACGGTTGAAACCGTTTGGACACTAAACATGCCAAACGATTAAAACCGTTTGGGCGAAAAACTGTCCAAACGGTTTCAACCGTTTGGGCTAACATTTGGCCAAACGGTTTCCAACAGTCCCAAACGGTTACAATCGTTTGGGCAAAATCTCAAACAGTTGTAACCGTTTGGGATTTTGCCCAAACGGTTGTAACCGTTTGGGTGACCGTTAGGGTAGAATTTTCCCCAACGGCTTTAGCCCAAACGGTTGTTTTTTTCGCCCAAACGGTTGTAACCGTTTGGGACTATGTTTTCCCAAACGGTTCCAACCGTTTGAGCTGTCCTGTTTTGTACTAGTGCTTGGTGATGAATGAATACAGCAAAGCAAGTGAAATAAAATATGCATTCCGAAATCTCAACAGAACCCGCACATTATAAAAACTCTCCAGGCAGGCTAGGTTCTCCAACTTTTAACAGGACAGTAACATACAAACGATCTGATACAACCTCAAAACTTCCAACTTACACTTCATCGTAAACTCTTACCTTAATGGATGTTTTGAATACAAACACAAAAATCTTAGAAACCGAAGCCAAAACATTTCTTTTTTATTTCTTTTTGGAAATAGGCACTGAAGAATG